TTACGAAATAATTCCTTAATATAGGAAATCATGAACCTAATAATTTTAAATTGTGGATTATATATGAAAACTTCTCTGTTATGATGAACAATTTATAAAACTACTCTTATTTTTATTAGTGTATATCGTATGGAGAGTAATTTTTATTTGATCAATATTTATCTTATAATTTTTAATTTATTATAAATTATAGATTAATTCTTGTAAATGTAAAAGGTTAAAATTAAACAAACACTTCTAGACCCCAAAAAAATGACATTAGCAATTTAGCATTGAGTGCCGTCAACCTTTGTAGAAAGGACGTTGGGGCCGTCGGCACATGCCAGCTGAGCCGATCACGACTGTCCTTTTGTCCATGTCACCGTACACCCATGATTTGTTTTCAATAAAAAATATTTTTTCCTTCTAAAATTCACTTCACAATATATTGTATAAATATACAAAAGATAATGCATTGATATCAACAATATTTCAGTGTTGCATGCTTGCTAGTTTTAGTATTATCGGAGATTGTAAATTTAAACCATGACAAAATATTGGTCCCGTTTGACATGATCATTAGAGATTGACGTTAGCGTTTGAAAAGGTTATTTGATGGTAGACTTTGACGTTATTATTTTCAGAATTAGTCTACACAATTAAAATTTTATCCAAAACAGTAACGCTAATCGATAACGTTGTTTCCAAACAAGGTCATTTTACCCTGTAACAAAAGTTTTAATTTTATACTCCGTATATGCTAATTGTAGTAGACATTCACATAAATGCACAAGTATTTAATCCTTCTTCGTAATCTTTGCGAATGTATTTTGCTCCTATATCATCTACTTGTGAGTCCGGCGCAATCATTGAAATATGAGTTGCTTCATCGTATTAATCGTCGTCCCACTCAATTGATGACCTCTTCCTTTGTCGAACAACAGACCAATTTTTATGTTTAGGATCAACAATGTAATATATTTGCATCGCCTGAGAGGCTATTATAATCGGTTCCTCATGATGACCCAACTTCTGAAAATTCACTAATTTAAACCCCATGCCATCTGATTTAATCCCCTTGTTGATATCCACCTATTTACACCAAAAAATAGGAATTGTGAAGTTCGTATATTCGAGTTCCCATATATCCTCGATCAAGCCATAATATGTTTTGTATGAGCGGATCGGTGTCGAATCTTTACCCCTATGAATGTGTAGGGAAGAAGCATTAAAGGAAACACCGCTATTCTGTACTGTACTCTTCTCATCCTCACATTTTGTGTAAAAATAATAGTCATTCATGTAGTACCCCTCGTAAGAAGATACATTTACTGATGGTCCTATAGCTAATGATCACACATTTTCTGTGACAAGATGAGGAGAATGTACTGTTTGTCAGCGAACATGCTCTTGAAATCATTTTAGAAATATACGATTGTGCTCATTGGTCAACATCCTCTCACTTTTTTCAGGGTTCTCTTGTCTTAAAAGAGACATGTGTTTCTCTAAATACAAACAAACATCATCCATTTGTTGTAAAATATAGAGTTGTGCTACACTGAACACATCAAAGTCAAGATGGATGATGTGATGTCATGTTGTTCCTTTCCCCTCAGTTCTACCTTCATGCTGAGAATTCAGTAGCCCAACAGTGCACTCCAAATCCAAATACTCGCTACAGAATTCAATAATCTCTTTTGCCAAATATCCTTGAACAATACTGCCCTCAGGTCTATACCGATTCCTCACATATCTTTTCAAAATACAAATAAATCTCTCTAAGGGATACATGTACCGAAGAAAAATAGGGCCATAAATTTTTCTGACCAAATGCACAACTAAATGAACCATGATATCAAAAAATGATGGAGGAAAGAACATCTCAAATTGACATAAGGTGACTACCACTTCCTCTTGTATCCGATCCAACGTTTCAGCATCAATGACCTTACTACAAATGACGTTAAAAAATAATAAAGTCTAGTTATTGCCCCCCTCACATTCGTTGGCAATATTGATCTAATTGCCACTGGCAAGAAATGTTGAATTAGTACATGGCAATCGTGAGATTTAAGACAGTTCAATTTCAAACCCGTCATCGACACACGACTCTTAATGTTTCCAGCATACCCTTGTGGAACCTTTATATCATGTAGACATTGACAAAGAGTGATTTTTTCTTCTTTAGAAAGTGTGTAGCAAGCAGGAGGTAGAAATGTGCGATTTCCTTTTCCTTGCGGTCCAAGCTCAGTTTGAAAGCTCATGTCTATAAAGTCTTTTCTGGCATTAACACCATCTTTAGTCTTGTCAGGAACATTTAGGAGGGTGCCATACATTAAGACTATCACATACATTTTTTCTATATCCATCCGATCAAGATAATGTCTGACAGATAAGCACTCCCAATAAGGTAGTTCCCAAAATATTGGTCTTTTCTTCCAAGTAGGATCATTTGGATCAACTTTCTATGTCTTACCAAATGTATGGTTTATGTTCTTCAACTTTTCATGCAATGCTTTGCCGGTCAATACTTTCGGAGCAACTTCATTTTCTGTTTGACCATTGAAGCTTTTCTAATGCGACTGTAAGGATGTTGACGTTTTAAAAATAGGCGATGACCTAAGAAGACTGTTTTTTCCCATTCTTTAGCCACACACTAGAAGTATTCTCCTCACATATCGAACATGCATATTTTCCCTTAATCTTATAACCAGATAGGTTACCATATGTTGGGTAGTCATTGATTGTCCAAAGAATCATATCACGTAACGTGAAACACTCTTGACGATAATCATCAAATACTGTGACACCATGAACCCACATTTCCTTCAAGTCATCAATCATTGGGGCTAAGAATACATCAATGTCATTACCCGGTTGTTTAGGCCCAAGTATTAACAACGATAGCATGATGTACTTGCGCTTCATGCACAACTCTGGAAGAAGATTGTAAATGACAAGCAGTACCGGCCAAGTACTATGTTGTGTATTCAAGCTTCAAAAAAGATTGATCCCGTCAGTGCACAATCCCAATCGAAGGTTTCTCCCCTCATTCCCAAACTTAGGAAATTTGTAGTCAATCGTCTTCCACTGTGGGGTATCGGCAGGATGACGCAGGGTGCCATTATCTTTTCGTTGCTCTGTGTGCCACACTAGATTCTTTGCATCCTTTATCGAAGCAAACAGATGCTTAAACCTTGGTATTATTGGAAGGTACCACAAAACCTTAATCGGAGTCTTTTTGGTTTTTTTTCATACTGTCCTTGTTATGAACCATTTTGGTTGACTCCTTGTATCTTGGAGCAAAACACTTGGGACATTCATCGAGATCCTGGAACTCATTTCAATATATATAAAATACAATCATTAACACAAGCATGTATCTTCTTGTACCCCTCCCCCATTGGAGACATCATTTTCTTCACCTCATAAGTGGATGATGGCAATTCGTGTCCATCTGGAAGAAGTTCACCTAAAAAACTTAATAAGGACGTGAAACTTTTGTCACTCCACCCATTTGCTACTTTTAAATTGAACAATTCCAAAACCCCTTTCAAAGGTGTAAACTTTGTACAATCAGGATACAACAGGCGTGAATATCATCTTCGACTTGTTCATTATGAGTATAGCTAGAGCTGCAAGGATTTTCTAACTCTCCATGTCATTTCCATCGTAGGTATATGGGTCAAAACCCTTGCAATACACATGTAATCTTATATTTTTAATGCTATCAACCATAAAATGGTTATGACATAAGTTACAAGGACAATATATTCAAGACACTAAAGTTGAACATGTACAATGGTTATGACTCTTTACAAAGGACAATATAAGTTAAAGTTGAACATTTAGTGTCCATAAAATGGTTATGACTCTTCCAAACCAGAACTAAACTCAGGTGATGTACGCGACATATGAATCCAACTTCTATCCACCATATGAATTGCTAAGGAAGAAAGAAGGGCAAAGGATTGATACAAAACAATGCACAACAAAATTATTAACACTCATTTTATATATACACACAAACATATAAGAAATACACGCAACACAATATCTTATTTCTTATGATGTAACAAAAATCTGGCAGCACTTCATTATACAAATGGTCCTTCTTTACACCTAATGCAAAAAAGAAATTCAAATATATAGTAATTAAAGTAAATACATTGAAATAAATTTAAAATTATATGTATACTTGGTAAAAAAAATATTCACCTAATGCAAAAATATATAAATAAATAATAGAATAATTAAATATTTAAAGTGAAAAAATTAAAGAAAATACCTTAAAATAGGCGAGCAAGGCACGGTGGGGTAGAGACCGGTGATAACGACGGCGAGTTACTAGGGAAGGAAGGGCACGGGGAAGGCACGGCGAGGTAGCAACCGGGGAAGGCACGACGAGGCAGCAACCGGGGAAGGCACGACGAGGCACGGCGAGTTAAAAAAGGTGAGGGACAATGACGCGAGGCACGACGAGGCACCGCAAGCACGACAACGGCGCGGCTATGAGCACGACGTTGGCGGAAGCACAGCGACGGCGACAACAAGCAACGACAACGGCGAGGCTAGGAGCACAACAAGCACACCAAAAAATCGTTTGGAGGTTTTTTTCAAATTCGCATACGGATAAGGTATTGGAGGTTGTAAGACATATCCTTGATAATTAGATTAATCAATATTTTGAAAAATTTTGTAAGACATATCCAATATAAATATTTTTGCATCAATATCTATTATAATTTTTATTTAATTTATAATCAAATTTAATAATTTTTTTATCACAAAAAATAAAAACTAGACAAAAATTCTAGAAGAGAAATAAAAAATGATCTTAAATCTAAGGGCCATAAAGTGATAAAACCACCGGCGGTGGCGAGAGCCGAAAATAGAAACCCAATAGCGCAAATTAGGAGAGAGGTTCCCACTTCCCACCTTCTTTCCCTCACCTCCAAGCCACCCCCACCCACCCACCCCCACTTTACCCTACCCCAACTTCCCTCTCTACCCATCATCCGCCCATCATCTTCCCCCCTGTCTCTTTACAATTTCCGTTTCCAATTGCAGGTCGTCTTCTCATCCCTGGAAAAGGCTGTTTATTTATCATCTGAATCGAGAAAACTCGGATCAAGAACGCCGGTTTTGATTTTTGATTTTCTCGCTTGAATTGGTGGAGCTATCAAGTTATTGGTTATATTATTGTATAGATTGGCATCGAACCTGAAGGATAGCGCGCGAGAGAGATAGGGGTTAGGGTTGCGTAGTTATGGGATTGGGCGATGTGGATCTTCTGGAGGAGCCCGGACTGGGAGGAGGAGATAAAGTTTCGGCCGCTGTGTCGTGTTCAATTTGCATTGAAGCGGTGACCGATAATGGGGATAGATCTTGGGCGAAGCTTCAATGCGGTCATCAATTCCACCTTGGTTAGTTCTGTTTCCAGCAATATGTTGCTCGATTTTCTAATTGAGTTTTGGTGATTTCCGGATCTGGGTTTAATTATCGTGGGATTGTCAAGGGGAAAACTTCAATGGGATGTATTGCTATTTTGGGATATCTTAGTTCTTCTGGGTTTCTGGTTTGAAACGCATATGGTCTTGTGCTGATATGCTCTGTAAATCTAACTGAATTAAGTGGAGGATTTGCTGCTGCATCCGTTGTGCACTTTATTTCCGTAGAAACTTTTTTCTTTCGTTGTCTAAATCTTTTGCAAGGTTGGGTAATTAAGTGAGGATATTTTGAGGTCTTAATTCTGTGTTAACAAATTCAAAGCTTTTTCTTTAAGTCTGTATTGGGGAAACATGTTATAAAAATCAAAGCTTTTCTCCGTATGTTCCCCAATGCAAAGTATCACACACAATTAAGTGGCAAAATTGTAAAATTTCACAACGGTTTTATTATAGTTGACCAGCTTTAGTTAATGTGCTTCTGGGACAAGATGATACAATTTCACTTCATTTAATCCCAGCTTATGAGATCATGTTAAACATCCTGGGAATAACATGATCAGATGATTGTCAATTTAGCTTAGTGGATTATAATTTTATCTAGTGGTCATTTACGCCCTCTCTTCCAAGCTAGAGAAACTTCTTCAATTTGATTCTCTTCATTGTTTGTAGGAGGCTACTGTATTCTTGTTTTTCATTGAATATTTAATTAACTGAGTGCGCGATGCAACCTTTTTTTCTATCAGGCAGGATTGCTATCAATTTCTAGCAGTAGTTATAGGATATTAATTTTATGTTTTTACGAGGAGCAAGTTTGCAACATTTGATGTTTTGTATATATTCTCTTAAAATAATATTATTTGGACGCGCATCATGATTGAAGCCAATGAAAGATGGATAAGGTTTTCAATGTTTAGGTCATTACCTTGTTCTTTTCACTGCAATTTTATGGGGTAGTTGTCAAGCGCTCCTATATAGAAAATATGCAGTGATGCATAATATTTTTTGTTGATTCCTACTAAAGTAAAAATGGAACACATTATTCTTATTTTGGTACCATGTGTTTAATATTCTTCATAAGCAGAGAACCATAGAAAGTTGATCACAGTACCCTTAACTAATGTATTACTGATATCCAAGCTTGTGCATCAATAGCTAGTTCTTTATCATCTCGTTGTTGTAAATAGATTCATAGTTTTTTCTCATTCAGTCACTTATGTTCAACATGATAATAAAGTGCTTAACATTTACAGAGTATTAGTTTTGCTAATTGTTTAAATGAAAACTAATTGGATTTGTTAATTGTTAGCTTGTTTTGTAATTTTGTTTCTTCTACGCATCATATAAAGAGAGAAGCATGATTAATTTAAATAAATGCATAAGATTTTTTGCTTTGATGGTCAATTGAATGTGATAATTCTGAGATTTCATTGAGCTCTACTCCAATCTCGTGTATTTGAATGTATGCAGATTGCATCGGGTCCGCATTTAATGCAAAGGGAGCAATGCAATGCCCGAATTGTCGAAAAGTTGAAAAAGGTCAATGGCTTTATGCAACAGGGCATCGTTCATTACCCGAGTTTAACATGGATGATTGGGCCCATGATGAGGACTTGTATGATCTAAGTTTCTCTGAAATGGTATGTTTATACTTTCTATTTACTTTTTTACCATATTTGGGTTCTAATGTAGTAATGTTGTATTCAACATTGCTTACAACAATGTGTTGTCACACTTCTATGTTTTTGTTTTTCTTCATATTAAATAAGTGTGTTTTGTGGATAGGTTTTACAATGTGTGGATGGATAATTTACTAGTACAATTAATGATAAAGTTGCTACTTTGTGCCCTTCACTCTTACCCCCCTCCTATCCTCCATCTAACCATCAACTAGATAAGCATGATTAATCTAAATCTTTTACATGCTATCGTTCTCATTCATGATGGTCTAGTTTAGTTGCATTATGATGATTCAAAAGTGAATTAAAAAGACTTGAGAATTAAGTCCATGTTTGAAGATAAATATTAGTAGTGCATGGTTGAATATTTTGTGGGTTTGGGGGAAAAAGAAATGAACCTATTTCAAGGATCGTGACAACTTATATACTTCCTTTGTCTCATAATGAATATAGAGTTTGAGATGAAATTTTAGAAAAGTGTTGAAATGTCAAAGTTGTGTGGTTGAAATTTGTTTGAAAGAGAGCCAAATGTTGTGAGCCACGAATTTTTTTTTCCATAATACTACCTCCGTCCCAGAGTATTTGTCCACTTTCATTTTTACACACCATCTAATACACTTCCTTAATCCATTTATCTTGTAATTTGTATATTAAAAAATTATAAAAATTATATATTAATAATCTATATGTTAAGATAAATCAAACAAGATTACACATGACTATATTTAGACTTACACATTGAGAGAATTTGATGAGTCAAAGTGCTTAGATGAACAGTTCCAAAAGTCAAAAGTGGACGAATACTCCGGGACGGAGGGAGTAGGAAAGTAGGGAATTTTCGTTTTGGATGGAAGGAGTAGAATTTAAGACAACATGAAGGGTGTTCGTTGTAAACTACAACACAACAAGAAAATCATACATAATCACTGCTACAAACAAACTTCACCATTGCTTTTGCCATGGGGTTCAAGATAGTAGATTTTGTATGGTTGAAAATTCAGTCTTCACAAAAATTGGCTTGAACTATTCTGACCTAAGATGTGAATAAAATATATATTGTTTTGAACAAGGATTTTGTTAACCAAAATCAAATATAACTAAACACAAAATGACCCGCTAAAAGTGGATCAAATCTGCCAAACCCAAACTCATTTAGACCAATCCACTAAGGTAAGGTTTTTCAAAATCATGTTTTAATGAGTTTTTAATGATATTGTATTGTCATCTTACTTTTTTATAAAATTTGTATATACTTAAAGGAATAATTTTAGTCTGACATCAAGGAATTTGGGAGCCGTACGATGGTCCATTGAGCTCGAAGTAGATCTTATCCTCCTAACCTCCCTGCACCCAACCCTTGGCCCCCTTGATTTGATATTGTATTGTAGCAAGTCAACGGTGGGGGTGGGGGGTGCAAGCAGAGGTGTCATAACATGACATCCGTACTTGGTTTAAAAGCTCCACAAATATTAATATCAATAGCCTAATTGATATACTATTATATTTTATCACAATTTTATGTGAGGATTTGAATGGGAAGTTGGATTCGTTAAGACATGCTTTGGAGTTGCATGGCTTCGATATAGGTCGCACTAAAACAGAGTATATGGAGTGCATGTTTGGCAACAGAAGGAGAAATAGTAACATCGAGACAATGATATACCATAAGTAAAGATATTTAAATATCTTGGGTGTCATTCAAGACAATAGAGAAATAGAGAATAATGTTGACCACATGATTCAAGTTGGTTAGTCAAAGTGATGGAGTGTTTCAGGCTTCAAGCTTTATATGTGACAAAAAATACTTTGAAAACTGAAGGAAAAATTTTACCACACTGCAATTAGCTATATTGTATGGAACAGAGTGTTGGGCAGCAAAGGGTGAGCATCAAGCCATCAACACAAAGTTACTATGGTGGTAATGAAGATGCTTTGTTGGATGAGCAATTATATGTATGTACATATTATAGGAATGAAGATATAAAAGGATTAAGAGCTAAAGCTGGAGTGACACCTATTGTAGAAAAGATGGTGGAAACTCGTCTTATGTGGGTTAGGCATGTGGGGAAAAGACCAATAGAGCATCTGGTGAAAAGGGTTGATCAAATGGTGAATAGACATGTAGCTAGAGGAAGAGGTGGACCTAAGAAGACTTGGCAAGGTATGGTCTAGGGGGAACCTTTCCGTGAATGATTTCACAAGTGATATGATACATGATAAGGGGCAATGATGTCTTTTGGTCTATGTAGTCGGCCCAACCTAGTGAGATTAGATTTTGTTGTTGTATCACAACTTAATGTGAAATACATGTGTTAGCATAAAATTAAATATTTTAAAATCAAATAATCATAAGTCGTTAAATTGCTTCAAACATGATGAAGTTGGGTTATGAACCCTATTTTCCAACCGAACATGAAAAAGCTAAAAAAAAAAAAGCCTAAAAGAATTGGATCCAACTAGACTGACTAGTTTGACAACTTTAGTTAAACTTTGTTTAGAATGAGAGTTTTTAATGTAAATTCCATAAACAGTCCCTAGGTATATGTGATTTTCCATATTTAGTCACTACTTATCAAATACTCCCTTTGTCCAACAATAATGTTCCATCGTGGATTACGATGTTTGGCCGGGTTATTTTTAAATCATTTTATATGAAAAATAGTATAGAATTAAAAAATAAAAATTGCATATGTAAAAACTTCATGAAATGATCTATACAACTAAAGGTGATATGATTATATTATTTTATCAAATAGGTAACAAAAATAGGCCAACAAAGTGAATAAAGGTTGACCCTGTCAATAGTGAACGTGAACAGTATTGTTGGACGGAGGGAGTATTATAAACGTAGTCTCCATTTTTTGGTTCTTTTTAATGGTGAGTCCTCTGTCACTTGTGTCGTTAAATGTCCAATGCAGCATTAAAAGAGTAATTTCCCACCCCCTTCTCTCAAATAAACCCCTCCCCCATCCCCAGCTATCCCTCAGAATGCTAAGCTCAATCTTCTTCTTCATCGCAGAACCCAAAATTGAAGTACTGTCTCCGTCATCTTCGCACATGACAATATGAATACGCCCCTAACCCAAACAGATTCGTATATGAGGATTATTGAGGGGCTTAGAAAATTACCTTTTTTAACCGTGTATTTAATAGTTAGATAACCTCAAGAGTGACAAAGGATTAGCCGTAGAAAGAAACCAAAGAAATGGGGACTACGCTTGTAATATTTGATAAGTAGGGCCAAAGTATGAAAAATCACCTATTACTAGGGATTATTTGTGGAATCTTCTCTTTTATAAACCAAAAGTTTGATGTTTGTACGAGACAATTAAGGTATGGTCTGAGGATTTTGTTAGAAGCGAAATAAATAAACCTCTATAAATCTATATTGAAAGTTCCTGTCCAAAAATTATTCTCAGAGGGTTTACTTTCTTTAGTTAGTGTTGCACATTCCAAAGTGTAGCAGCTTGCCCTCAAAATGCCAATAAATTGGTTATTGGGATGATTGCTATTTTTACAATTTTATACAAATGCTTGTAATAGTGTATGATGTACTTGAGGTGTTTTTAGCTATTTTCTCATTGCATGAGCTTCATTGTGCAATACCACTTAAGTTTTGTTTTTAGTGAAAATCTATTAAAATAATTAATTACAAATGTTATTAAAAATGATCGAAGATAATATAGTAAAATATTTGGTAAAATTACAAGAAACCTCGTAGTAAAAAGTCCACATCAACAACGAGAAAATCATCAAAATAGTAAGTTTAAGCATGACATAGTATCAAAGAGAATGGAAAACATATATGTGTAATTGCGTAAGAGAAGTTAAACTTGATGAGTTTGTCATAGAAGACGTGATGTGTTACATTGCCTTGTTCAGAAAGGAAAATTCAGCTTTTGAAAATGTGAGCCGGACTTAGTTAAAACATAGTACAAGTATTATGTGAGCTTCAACTAAGCCTCATTGCGTTGCACTATGAGGCATAGCCATACACCAGAGGTCAGAAGGAAGCTGAGGTGCGTGTGTTGTCAAAGAGTTTATCTAAGATGTGATTGTTGAAGAGTTGCAACTCTTGAGGCTTATTGTGAGAAAAGTGCAAAGGCTTTGAATTTAAATATAAAAGGTTTTCAATTTGAGCCAGACAAAAATTAAATGACAAATAATAACTGACCTAGTAAAAATCCACCCATGGGGTTTTGGGGGTGGGTGTATGCAGATCTCACCCCTACAGAAAGGTTAGTAAGGCTATTTTTGAAAGATCCCCTGGCTTCAACTCAGAAACACAAAAGACAAAGGTGAGCAAAGTCAAACAATTGGAGGAAAACCAAGAAAAAGATACAACAAAGCAAATGAAGATAAACATGCTATCCTCTAACTACATTTAACTAATCCTTATAGCCCTTACTCACACAAAGATCAATTACGCCAAAAAAACTTCCTAAAAATTGACTCCCCCACCCCCACAAGAACCTAATCATACCCAACCGAGCAAATAGTTTTAGCACTCTTTTTCCATTATCAACGACACATTCCATCTGCCCTCCTGCTAGAGAATACCTTGTATTAGGGAACTTTGTATAATTGTATCAATTGTGTGCTAATTTGCCAATGATATAGTGCACTGTTGATAACATTGCTTTTATTACTTACTGGGGTTTAAAAGATGTTTTGTTAGCAGCTACTTGGGATGGAGAATTGCTTTATGTACCGCTGTACATATTTACATAAGCTATCCACATTTTGTGGAGGTTGATGCAACAATATAGGGATTGGAAGAGTGACCTACACATGTTTATTGACATGGAGATGACGTACTAAAGTGTCCTTTGAGAGGTGGTGTGGAAGTTTTTGGGGTACAAAGGATGCCAGTAGCATACATTAGAACGATTGATGGTATGTACAGTGGAGCAAAGACAAGCGTGCACTCTGTAGGGGAGAGGCTTAAATTATTTTTTGTTAGAGATGATCCTACATATGGAGGTGGCCCTTAGTCAGTTTCTTTTTCCTTAATGATGGACGAGTTGACGAGAGATACATAACAGGAGGTGCATTGTGACCTTGTTTCGGGTATTAAGGACAAAAGTCATCCTTCTTGCTACTTTGTTGGGGTTCTTTATACTCTCGGAACAAGGCTGTCAGTCAGGCATGTCTGTGCTGTGACTGGTGTGACTAGGAGATCGAAGCTAAGACGTGGAACATGTCTCCCATCAGCCAGTTACTTTATTTTGTTACTAATCCCCAGTGGACAATGCTGCACCAGAGTGAAAAAGAAGAAAATAAAAGAGAAGTAGGTTTTGGGTAGAAGACATTGCTCTCATTGATGGAACACATTAAAGAGTTGACGATAGGTTAGAGGGTGTGGTAAACCTTGGAGTCTAAAGGTTTCAAATATAGCACGACAAAGACGAAGTATATAGAGTGTGGTTTCACTGCTTCAGTGGGAGGGCGGCTAAGTAAGAAGTGCAGGTGAAGAATGATTCAGAACCCATACTTAAAAAAGGATAGGTCTTGGTACCTTGGATTTATCATCAAAGCTGAAGGCGAATTGGATTGGGATGTTGTCCATCATATCGGTGCAGTGGTGCGGGTGAGATAATGGAGGCTCGCTTCAGGCGTTTTTGAAAGACAAGTTCTATCAACCAGTGGTTAGCCGACTATGTTGTATGAGACAGAGTGTTGGTTGGTGAAGAAAATAGTCATATAGAAAATTTGAGTTGCAAAGATGGAGATAGTGCGGTGGGTGTGTGACCTTACGATGATGGATTGAGTTTGGGATGAGGATATTTGAGACAAGATGGGTGTGACATATGTGGATGATAAGATGCCCAAAGGTACATGCATGCAATGAAGAGTACCAATGCCCCTGTGAGGACGTGAGGAGGTTTAATAGGCTAGAAGAGGGGTATCTGAGGAGGGAAAAAGGTAGACTGGAATACTGGATAAGAGTTGGGGTGAAGGGATTACCTTGCTCATGTAGAGTTCACTGAGGACATGATAGTAGATAAGAGCATTTTGCAGTCGAGGACTATCATTGCAAGGTAGAGGTGGTTCTCTGTGTGTACATGGCTATGAGGATTTGTTAGATGTAGTTAGAGGTTTGCTTAGTTTGTTTTTATCTGCGCTGCTTTATAGTTTCTCCTATTGGTTTCTCTATATTTTTAGAACTCATTAATCTTTGTCTTGTGTTTTTGTTTTGTGCTTGGGTTGGAGTTCTTTCTAAAACAACTTTTCTACGCTTCCGTGATAGAGATTAAGCAGGTGTACAGCCCCACAGCCCACGCAGCATGATTTTATTATTGGCTTGGTTGTTGTTTCATGGGTACACTAGTCATTTCTAACTGATTTTGGCCTTTATCATTTACGTAGTAAATGTTAGACTATAAAGTTTGAATTGATTGGTAAGCACTTGAAAGCTAAGAGCAATCCTTGTGTTTGGTGTGAAAAAGGCAAAAAAGGGTATTATTTTGGTTTAAATAGTTATGCTGATAGAACCTTGTATTTGAATGTTGATATTAAAATAGAAGCAGTGGAATGGATATGTATTGAAATTTGAAAATACAATTCACTTACTATTTCTTTTTGTATAATACGGAGTGTTTTTTGAATGATCATATTAGGATTGTTATACTTCCTCCATCTCACCATTTTTGGGACATGAGGTAGTGACACACGTAAAAAAGTAGAATTTTATGGTTGAAATTGATGTTTAACTAGTTAAATTGTATCATTAAAAAAACACTTAAATTGTTAGAAAAAGCAAGTGTATGTGAGAGTTAACTGTGGTAACAACAAACATAGTAAAGTCACAAAAAAGCAGTGCCTTGGGAGGGTGTGTGTACGTAGACTTTTCCCCACTTGAAAGTAGAGAAGTTGTTTCCAAGAGACCCTTGGCTCAAAACAGAAGCACAAACATAGTAGAGTGAAAGATTAAATAGAGTATAACACACCGAGTAAGAGCAAAGATGCAAGAAGCACATCTTTTGGTACTTACAGGCACTAAGGTAAGAGACTCAACGCACAAAAAGCTCACAAGCACTAACTACAGCCTAAGGTAGAACATACAAGCAAAAACTATAGATGACGGTCCAAAAGCCTGCCCAAACACTGTAGATTTCCCAGCTATGGTCATATTCTCGGTGAGATCCTGAAGTTGAAAGTCATGCCTAATCACCTCGTATGGGGAAAAAATAGTGGGGAACACAAAAAGGTAAAAAGAGAAAATAGTGGGATAGATAGAGTACTTGGTTTAGACATAATAAGTTCAATTTTTTTGGGCCAGAATGGTAATTTTATAAATCTTTCTCTATTTGTGTCACGTGTCAATCTAATCTGAATATGAATTCAAATCTAAACATGAAATGAAAATATTTGCAATGTTTAGATCCAGATTCAGATCCTATTGAGGCGGACCTGAACGGGTCCGGGTTTTGAAACACAAAATGTTCAACCAATTGGTCTTGGGGACAGAACTATAGCATCTAACCTTTATTATCTGTTTCATTTTGATTTGGGTTGAGTTAGTATTTGTTAACTGTTTAGCATTTCTTTACTTCTTTGTGAAGCCAAAGGCACTTATTTATTGTATCAAGTTAATATTTTCCTAATTTGTGCATTTGCTGCAGTCATTTGGAGTCCATTGGTGTCCATTTAGCGGATTAACTCGTCTGCCTTCATCTTTTGAGTAAGCACATATCTATCTTGAATTGTATAATTTACTTTGTTTTCTTTCTTTTTTGTTGAGCCTTTGATTTTGATTAATTTACTTTTGGTCAAAACCTGTTAGGAGATTACATCTTTACAGTTTTTTTTGTGGTTTTAAAAAAGTGAAAACAGTTTATTGTTAAGATAAGAGTTTTTTGTCCATTTCCTTATCCACGACCACTTATAGAAAGCTGGCAGTGAGAGGCAGGGTGCGGATCTATAGTGTGTAATTACGAGCAAGCTCGTCCTTGACAAAGGGGAACTAAGAGCACTAGACCTTACCTTGTTGAGGGGTTAGGTATTGAAGCAAGACATTATGTCTTATTAATGCCTAATGGAATAAAGACTGCACAGTCACACCACGATAGAAACCGAACAGCCACAAACTCTTGTCCTAAAATCAGAGCATTAATAAAACATATTAAAAAATTACTTTGAATATCAACTTCATCAATAAATAAAATAAGGTTCCTCTTTCCTTTTCAGGAAGGAATTAAGTGATTCGCATAGTCCTCTCTCCCCTGCCCAAAAGTCAACCATACACAACTCAACCACACACTTTCAACTCTAGTAATAAGTAATAACCGTGGCCGGTTAATTGTGAAATCTTATCTCTGGATGAAGGGAGTAATCTTGGCCTTCAAAAACAACTTCACCATATAATAAAAGAAATTTATTTAACTTCATGGATTAAAAAAATAAAAGTAATACTGCAAATGCCAAAGGGCGTCGTCAGATGGTAACCTCTGTTTCCAGTGAAGACCATCCATTGATGATGGCAAGGCTAGAGGGAGGAGCGATTTTGATATATCAACAGTATCACACCTCTTTCCTTTCGTTTAGCAGCTTAGTCCAGAGTAACACGAGTTGTGTTTTTTGAAGTGATTTTTCTTTTAACCTAGCGATCTGCAAGGTGTCAAGTGGTCGCCAAGCTCTCTCTAGTGGATTCTGGCGAGTTGAGGACCCATTACGAGAGTAACACACCGACAGGAAGTTAAGTCAATGTCTTAATGACTATGATCTACTGGGTGTGTTTGGTTTGGTCTGGCTTTGATTTTTAAAAGTTCTGTCTACCCCAATAGCCCTTATTATTATAGCCTGAAGTAAAAACAGCACTCCAGCCCAATTGACATCACTAAGGTTGGAGTTAGAACATAGTCGTCCCATATATTGCTGCTCTCTTTATTATGTTTGCTCTCTCCTGTTTGGAGATACTGCCACTCTCTATTGATTATTTTCTTAGTAACATCTTCAATAGAGAATAGCTAACTTTTCTTTTTCTACATTTGTAGTGAAGGAGATTTCGCTTCAAGTGCATGTAAGAAGACACTGTACTCTTGGATGAATAATGGTTACTTCTTTAAATCTCTGTTTGTGATAGGACCTTTTTACATTATTGCAGATCATGATCTTCTTGGACAGCATCCTCTTTTTGCTGAACAAACTGCTGTCTCTTCGTCAAATCATCCATGCCCATACATTGCATATGTTGGTATTCACCCGACTCCCTCAAGCTCAAGTGGAAGTGTATCTGAGGGTCCCAATTTTAACAACCACTGGAACAGTTCAGGGCTTCCAAATGAAATTCCAACCACTTTTGCTTTTCCAGGTGTGGATGTCCATTATCCTCATGGGTGGGGGGAGCACCATCCTTCTACTTTCCAAACAAGTAGCAGCCGGATTGGTAGTGCTGAACAGCAGCCTTCAATACCCTCTGTTTCTCATAGAGCTGCTAGAACAACAAACTCCGATATGCCAAGACCTGGATCTTTTGTCCACCCATTTCTTGTCAGCCACAGGTAGATACTCTGCATTTTTTTAATTATGATTCCTCTTCTACTTGTGTTTGATTGGATGTGGGCAGTTCGCTTTTTCTATCCCTCATGTGTGTGTGTGTGTGTGAGAGAGAGAGAGAGAGAGAGAGAGCGAGGGGCACTAAGTTGCTTCCTTTATACAAATAAAAACCTAAGTTCCTTTCTTTATACGAATAAGTACATCAATAAGAGTATAATGTTGTGGCAAACCAATGACAGTAGCAGTGGCCTCCACAATTGCTGTTACCTGCTACTGCGTGATTCCACCATGTGCTATTTTCCGGCACATCATCTCTGCATGCTACTTGTTACTGTATGACCTCACTTCTGTAACCATATCTGTATTGCAAAACCAATAGCCCATAACCACGTTAACTGTCCTTATTTTTAAGTTTTAAAAGTTTACACTTGCTTTCCTGTTAAGAGAAGGAGTGTGTGGCTCATGACATTTCTCTCTTCTAAACACCCGTTCATTTTTTTATCTTTTAACACTTTAAATTCCATGAACACTATTTTGGGATAGAGGGAGTAAGAGACTAAAGATGCTAAGGTTGCATAGGGATTAAAGCAACAATCCACACTCCGGGTAGTTCTTAAAATCATAGTGGATTCAGTTAGTAATAATTTTTTTTTTAAAAAAAATGAATGTGGTTTACATTCTTCATAACTCATGGTTGATCAGTTTTCAAGCTCTATTTTATTTGTTTTGTCATTCCTTTGTTTTTTTGCATGTCAATTATTACAGCTCAGCTCGACCTGGGACTTCGGTTGGCTCACCTATGATTCCTCCTTACCCTGGAAGTGTGGCCCGGGCTCGAGACCGTGTCCAGGCTCTCCAAGCATATTTCCAGCAGCAACCCAGCAATTCGCCACCTGTACGGGCACCGGTCATGTCCGGAGGAGCCCGGAGATCCAACAGTCACAGGGGGGGGGTCCACCTGCCTCAAGTGGCATCATCGTCATCTGATCATCATCATCATCAGCCTGCCTCCGCTGGAGGGTTTTACTTCTATCCATCTGCTGCTGCTGCTTCATCTGGAAGAAGCTTCCAAGAAGCAGCCGAAACCCCTTCACCCCTCCGGTTTCGTAGTTGGGAGCAACGGGAACACACTACCACCACCTTCAACAACTTGCCACCACAGGTGGAGAGAGATCCGATATGGGGCCCGTTTTACCACCAAGCAGCAGCCAGCGGGTCTGATTCTGGTGCGATCAGATCCTCTGGCAACTTTCGCCACAGACATGGGTCCGATAGGATGCCATCTCAGAACAGGTCATAACCCATTACCATCCTATGTCCTGAAAAAAGAAAGAAAAAAAAAATTATGTATGTTCATCTGTTGTGCAGTCTCTCAAAAGACCACATGGGAGGGCAGATGTAAAAACTATCATTGGCCCTGAAAATCGACGTTCGTCCTTTCTTGGGGTTATGGACGACAGTTGTGCCCGGCCACCGTGTTTCTGTGACCCTCCCCCCCATCTGAGAGTGGGGTGGGGTGGGGTGGGGGTACATAAGTACACAAACAAACAATGCCCTATTTAAATGGTGGGACCGTTAAGCGTTTTTTCGTGCACACGTCTTCGGTTGCTTTCTTTTTTTTATGCCTGTTTTTTTTTGTCCTGTGGTTGAGAGTTGGTATGTGTTGGGGATTCTTCTTTGGCTTCATTTCAACTGTGTACCTGGTTTTCGAAACTTGAGGAATCGCTTGCAGTATCAATTTTAATCTTATGTAAAATCTATCAGAAATGATCCTAAATTTGTTCGTTCGAGTTTGTGAAGTTAGAATTATGACATATCAACACAAAGTGGTCAGAACTCGGAATAACGCAGCGAAGGACAAAAATATTGAGACCAAAAAGATTGATCGGGATTTGATCTCAAAGAGGCTGTCTCATTTGGTCTTGAAAGACTAGATTGGTAATCTTTTGTAAAAGGGCCAAATTAGTCCAAGACCAGTTCCAACAATCCGAAATGGTTACTCCATCCGCCCCATTTTAAATTGCATGTTTGCCTTTTTTCTCCGTCCCAAAATAATTTGTCTATTAGTTGTTTTCGTAAACTTTTAAAAATAAAATACCTAAACTACCCCTAAAATAAGTAACCCTTCTTCACCTTATCTTCTCATTCATCATCACCCCTTTTAAAAAGTAATGGCAATTTCAGAAAATCAACTCTATTTTTTATTTTCCTTAAATATGCCCAAAAATCAAAATAAGTGATTTAAATTGGGACTAAGGGATTATTTAATTTGGGACAGAAGGATTATTTCTAATCTCTCACCTCAAACTAAAATGAAATTTTCATTTGATTTTTCATGTCTTGAATAAAATATATGGAGTAACACTTTTACTATTAATATTAATATAAATATACACAGTAAAATGAGTAAATTATAAAATTATAATGTTTCAAAAATATGTTTTCAAAACTATTTATTGATATTAATTTATACAAAAAATTAATACATATTTTCTAGTATAATTTATTGTCAAAATTTAAAAATTTGATTGAGAAAGTCAAATGAGGAATTCTTTAATGGATGTAGGGAGTATGGTGGTTTCTGCAAGTATCATGCACGGAACCACACCCTTACGTCAATTGACTAAAATTATAGCTCAATTTACTTTCTCTGAACAAACTGTCTGGTTGGTGCTGAGGGGCCCTCGGAGATCGGGTATCTTTAAAAAAAAGAACTTCACATAATTTTTCAGCATCTCAAAATGTACTTTCAAGTGCTTCTAGAGTATACCTAGGTTCTACTAAATTTGAACTAGTAGTCCTAACCAAACCTTTTCAGCTTAGATTTTTTTTTTGTTCATGATGATCAAACTATCTAGACAAATCCTAGTAAAAAAATCAAATCGATCTCGATCTAAATAATATTTTTCTTTCCAAATGGATCTATATCATAATATGACTATTATTATAGAAGTAATATATGCATATTACTCCGTATGGTATTTCTATATCCAACGGAACCATGTTGAAATGTTGAATTCAAGTATGAATCTTGGCCATAACACTTTGTTGGTACACATTTATGACATGGGTTTCAAATTAATTACTTCCTCCGTCTCACCACAGTTAGACTTTTTCTGTCAAACTGTGATCTCATTTAACCACGAATTAAACATAATTTTAAATATTATAAAAATCTGATATTTCAAAACTATATTTAAAATTAAACCCAATTTTATTAAATTTATATTATACTCCGTAACTAAATATACTTTCTTTGTAATTTGCGGTTAAAAAATGTCACAGTTTGACATTTTTACGGTTAAAAAGTACCAAAAAAATTGAAATGGAACCCAACCTAACTAACCTATTTGCAAACTGTAATAACACATCAGCTCACACACTCCATATAACTGTTAGTCCCACCATGAAGACTAGAAATGTTTCAATTTTGAACACACAACTGTTACTGTAGTTTCAAAATTAATCTCCACATATCAGTAAATGATCACACCAAAAGTGTTAGAATTTGATCATGTGAGACACAAGAATAGTATAAAATGTAACATATAATTGTACAGAATACCATCACAGAGTGCCATTTTTGAAATTTCTAAGTCCCCAAGTTGCTCATATGAAAGGTTCCATTGCAACTACTCGAGCTGCTGGGGCTGATCCGCCGGATCGGAGAGCTTTGCATCAGATTTCTCCTGCAACATTTTCAGGAAAATGGTTTTATCTTTTCTTTCAAAAAGATGTACACTCCCCGTCGCAATTTAAATTTCCGTATCGGTTTACGATGTTTGACTAAAATTGTTTTCAATTCGTTTCATATGAAAAATGGTGCAGAATTTTATTAAAAAAATATTTATATATTTCAAAATTACATCTAGAGTTCTATGAAACAAAAGGGGATATGAATATTTTATTTTATTAAATAAGTGCCGAAAATAGCTAATGAAAGTGATTGAGGTTTGATCTGTGAAGTGAACCGACAACTTAAACTGGGATGGAGGGAGTAGTTGGGTAAGGCACTTACAGGAGGAGGAGATAGACTACGACTACGACTTCGGCTTCGGCTGGGTTCTTTAGTCGTCACATTCTTTACACGTTGAGGCTACAAAAGGGTGATGATACATTCAATAACGTCTCATCAAAAAAAACATACATAAACAATATACATTCAACCAAATGCTTCCCGATCAACCGAACACTTACCGATGCAGCTGGTGATTTAGATCTTGACACAGATCTGCAAAAATCATAAACATCACATCAACTTTGAAAAGAAAACATGGAAAATTCATCCAAGAATGAAGTAAGATTTGCATTTTGTGATCCTTCTTAATGCTTCAGAACGAGACCAAGATAAAAGAGAGGGAAAAAGAAATGATGCATCCAAGAATTTATATAAATCCAGAGTGAAATAGGATTTTCTTCGGTGATTTTTAGCACTGCTTCTAAATCAGACAAAGTCTGCCTAGCCACACTTCCAACCTTACATGACATCAATGGGCCGTTCTTGGAAAAGAAGTATATATACACGGGCGGGACAACCCAAGAACACATCTTAATGAATTTGAGAATAACTTTCCTTGATTTAAATAACACTGTTAATTACAACCAGCATCATCACCAACATGATTTGCATCACTACAGTTAAAGGATTAATCCGATTAATGTGTCACATCCAAGGCATTTAATTAAATGCAGTTTTTACCATCCAGGTTTTGTCGAAGGTTGTAACCAAACTATACAGCACACTGCCACAACCCAAATGAATTGCATGAATTTGAGAGCACCATAACCATCAAGTCCCTAACAAGCAATCCCCAGATCGCTGCGGAAAGCCAGATCTAGAAAAGAAAGGAAAAGAGCTTTCTTAAAATTGTATATTAACCACGAAATTTGTATCTGTTCTTGACTTATCCCTCTCCTAAGACACTAATTATGTATGAGACCCAGCTTGTATTGGATTTGGATCACATTTACAATAAATACTGCTCGCAACTGTGATGAGAGTGTTCACTGTATCTTAAGGTAATTTTTACTTCCCTTGGACGGTCCACTCCTTTACGCAAAGTATGTTTAGGGCTCACAAAGCTGTGTGAGCTGGAGTCTCTAGTACACCAAATGCCATTCATAATTCATTGATAGCAATGTGAAATATGTGAACAAGTTGGATGGAGCTAGTGGCAGACCCTACTGTAAATGTTTTCATCCAAAAGAATATATTTATTCAAGTGCCAAACAGATGAATTGCCTCTTTGCAATTCTAAACACCTAAATGTGGGATTAAAAAATTTTGTTCCAAAAACAAAGTATTTTCTGCAAATTGTGTTCTCAAGTACTAGGGAAACACTACCCCTTTGCAATTTTTAAAGCAATATTCTCTAATAAATTAAATAGCAACCAGAAATCATTGCATATGCTAAATAAATGAGACAGGCGAATTGCTGAAATATGCATAGCACATCTTGCTGACAATGCAATGCCAAGGAAAGAGATGCATATAACTCTATAGCTAATTTGAGTCTATAGAACTGTAAAGACACTATAATAAGTCTAATGATCAAATAACACACAAGGCATAAACAAACCCTCAAGTGCCTGCTACCTTTAGCCTTTCAAAGAGGGAAGGAGAGGGAGGAGTAATGGGAAGGAAGATAGAAGGGGAAGAAAATGGAAGGGTTCAAAGTGATGTTATGTTTGGTTCAAGAAAGCAAGGAGAAACTAATATGTAGGGGGGGGGGGAATACTCAGTTTCTCAATAGTGGTCATACTTGTGTTAGCACGTAGTTTCAAAAAAGGTAGTGTCAGAGAAAAGTGGGGAGAAAAAGAATAGGTGGGTGTGAGAGAAAGTGGAGTGGGAGAACTACATGAAAAACAAGCTTTTAGCAAAGTTTATATTAAGTTCCCACATATTCATCTTCTAGTAAACCTTGGACGTAAACCTAGATAATAATTTGAAACACAAATTTCAGCCCAAAAGTGGTATAAAGTTGGCACTCGACTAAATAATCCAAACACAAGGAGCTAACAGTATGGTGCTTGGAATCAAGGAAGAAAAAGGCATGCAAAACGAAAGCATCAACGCAAAATCACGTTCACAAATATTTTGTTTATGATAATGTAACAGTTTGATTGAGAGTTGGCCAAATAAGAGAAGAGATTGAAACTCAACGAAAAATTTGAAATCTAAACTAAAGGTTCCCATAAAATAAAAGCTTGGGAGATGGCTATCAGAAGCCAAAAAAAACACATTTCAACAAAAATTGCAACCAACCTAACAATACAAGTCTTCCTAGTTCTTGTCAAGGTTTTGTTAAGCAAAAACTAGTTCTAGACCTTATGTGCGGAAAGTAAATCAAAGTAGCAATATTAATACTCATAAATAAAGATCAATATACAATGAAATCCACAAAAATACAAAAATGTGCAATATAAATACCTTGAGCGAACAGGAGAGACGGACCTTGAGCGCGATCTAGATACTGATCGACGAGAACATTTGCCCCTTGGGGATGCACTGTAAAGTGTAAACAATAGTGCATTAGAGAACAAACATTTGGAACTGATAACAGAGCTCCATTTGGAGGTGAATAACAAACCTTATGCTCTGACTTCTACGACGTTTGGGACTTCGGCTTCTCGAGTAACTTCTGCTCCTAGAATTATATGGACTAGGACTCCTAGACTTGCTTGTTTTACCATCATACTTCTCAACCTAGAAGCATACTGGACTATGAGAAAGTTATTCATGCATACATAGTAAAAGGAAAGATAAATCAACAGAAAAACAAACCCGTATATAAGAACGAGACACTTGGTTTTTGAATTGGGAGTCATCTAACTTCTTTATCTGCATTAAATAAAAAATGTGCTATTATAAAACTAGGAAAAACTAAAAAAAACTGTAGAAAAGTCTACTGACTAAATAATTATAACCCCGGGATTGTGTTATCTTGAGTGCATTACTAACTTACCGCATACTTCATGTCATCAGAGTTAGTATAATCCACAATTCCCCTTACACCTTAAATAAGAGAGTTCTAAGAATCAGGAAAACAGTGAATATGAGTGGATTTGAAACTGAATGAGACACGCTATGCAATTACCATCACGATCCCGGTAAACTTGAGAGAAGCAGACATCTCCAGCTCGGCGCATGTGATCCTAACACAACCAGTAAAAGTAAATAACATTATGGCCAACATCATATAAGGCATGTTGAGGCAGCCTTTGGCTGATTGACTAGTAAAAAACCAATATGGTCAAATCAGCCAAATATATGTTTGGATGCCGGCATTTAAAATTGGCTTTTTGTCCCAAACGGCCAAAATCTGAAAAACCAGCATGCATAGCTTTTCTAGTTGACCTTTTCCTTCAATATCTGATTTTGCCCCTTTAGTATTCTGTTGCTAACAAAAGCTCCCTTTCATTCATTTCAATATGCCCTTCTTTTTTCCCAAGCCCTTCATCTTTTTATTCTTCTTTTTTCCAAGCCCTTCTTCTTCTCTCTAGTCTCCAACCCTTCTTCCTCGTTTCCATCTACCGTTCCAACGCTCAACTCTCACCAGGTATGCCCCTCACTCTATTCTTCTGTTTATTTATAGTAGAATTACCAGTATTTTAAAAAAAATCTCATATTTTGTAATAGTCATTTGCTCCATTCACAGTTCTTCTACACATCTTACTTTTTTTCTAGACCAAATCAATAAATTACTTCGAAAAGAATTATTTGGACGACTAAATTAAATTTGCTTCAATTGTAAGTGTGAAGAAGTTTTTAGACGATGAGAGTATTAATACTAATATGCTTATATAATTTGTGTTTATATCAAAATTTTAAAAAAGTAAACTAATTACAATAACACATTAATTAAAATATATGGAGGCGTGTCTAAAAATGTAATTGTCACAACAAACAACTACATATGAACAACTAAATTAACCAAACAAATTTTTCTTAACAGCATCAGCCGGTCAAAATAGTGACTCAATCATGTCATTCAAACCAGCCAAGACAAACAGTCAACACCCAACATCTAATCTCCAAACAAGGCCAGTCTCTGAAAATCACACAAGTCGACCAGCCAAAGAACATTCAACCTTACCTTCAGATCTTGCCATGAGGCAGAAGTTGGAAGTCCAGTAACCAGAACTGCAAAACAAAATTTCAGAAATGAGTTCTGATTTCAGAATGAACATGCAATTTCAATTTACATGGATAAAAGATAAGCACATTCAAACAACCAGCATCTCATACAAAAAAAATGATCATAATCTATACAATAACAATCAATAGAAATAATAAATGAGTAACTGTTCATAGAAAAAAATATAACTACCCATTAAGCACACAGCCAAACATGTTTGCAATTTGAAATGAAGAATACTCCGTACTATTTTTTACCCGCTAAATTTTAGGCCATGTTATCCAAAGCTTGCTTGGCATCCTTAATGATATGAAAATTCCCTTCGGTGATCACTCAAATAAGTCAATTTTTGTGACTAGTTTTTTCAGCAATTGCAGAACGCCAAAACCCAAACAGATATGCGTTGAAAATAAAAGGAAGCTTTTTAGACTAAAAATCTGTTAATTCATCTCATGATTCCTCCCTTCTCTCCATTTGAAACAACATTTTCTACCCCTCAAGCAAATCTATACATATATTACTCTGTACTTTTGTAAGAAGTAAAAGAAGAGTAAAAAATATGAAGAGGCATAATTCATTTCTTATGGCAGAATGGAAAAAGATATATGTTATAGAGATGTCTTAATATATGAAAGGATAAAAATCTTAATAGACTTTGTTTAAATTTATTTACTTGTCTATAGCAATTTTAAAGTATGTAATACTTCTTGTTAATTCTTACAATGTCATTTCTGGATTTAAATCTGTCTACATTAACTTGGAACCAGAATGTGATAATTTTTTAAATTTGAATGCACTTCCAATTAGACTGTGGTGTCTAGGCACCTTAAATGATGATGCTGAGTTCTTGGACAATGTTTATATTAGCAATGAATATACAGTAAATATGCTCTATTCCTAAAAAAAAGTCCTTCGTAATAAATCCTCAAAAGGCAAATTTCATGAAATAAATTTAAATTTTATGATATTTGCCAAAGAAGGTTACAAAAAGGTTAAACACGCTAAAGTTCGCTAAACCAGCAAATGCATTCTAGAACTATTTCATGAATAACAAAAGTAACTAAGTACCTCAATCAAACAAGGCTCTTTTTTAGAATGGATGGAGTACTAAATTTCAACTAGGTCAAATAGGAATAAGCACTACTTTATCATGTAGAAGACTTAGTTATTAAAGAGATAAGAGATATTCATGTATGGTTTATACTTCATAATTAAAAAAATGCTTTTATCCTTAGGCATTCAAGACATGTGTCATGCAAGCTCATCGTGATTCAGCTACAGTACAGTTAGAAACCGGAAATATGATTATTACTATTATTATTATTATTGTGAATGTGTAGGGCTCAGGGCCTAAAACACCAACATTCAAAATATAAAACCAAGTTTTTCTGGGAATTCAAATTTGTAGTTCAGATCATGAAAAATTGTTCTTACCCCGAAAGTCAGAGCGTCTTGAAACTCCACCACGACTCCCACTACTATAGCTGCTGTGGCGATCATGAGATGGTGTTCCTCGCCCCCCGTGTGCAAGTTCAACCTGTATAGATTGATTAAAGTAGCAGACTACAATTTCAAAGCATCAACCAACCAGGCAAAACTAAAAATCACATCATAGGTGACTAACCCGCAAGCGATGTCCATCAAAATCATAGCCATCACGACCACGAATAGCATCATCAGCATCAAGACGGTCTTCAAACTGTGACAAATGAACTATTAGAGAAGTTCCAATGTGAAATAAAATGAAAAATCACATTAGAATTTCTTAGTCATAAGAGCAACTATTAAAGTACCTCCACAAAAGCATAGCCGGGTGGTCTTGATGGAATTTTCAAATCTATTTCAACAATATTTCCATACTGCAGCACAATACAAAGTAGATGTCATGAGATTCATCAAAATAAAGAGCTGGAAGCCTGGGAAAAGTAGTCCTATTTCTCAGCAAATAGCATTAATCCACTCAATTAATAAGAAATTAGGTGATCCTTGGCTTTCATGCCCTTCACTTTTCTGTTTGATAAGTTATATTGCGTGCAGAAACATAAACCAAGAGACTGTAATACTGTATAATATAAAGATGCCTCAGCTTATACACTTGCAATCTGTCTCTTGTAATAGAATCCTGTTTCTTTCAATTCTAGGAACACCTTAATTGCACAACTGTTATAGAAAACAGGATACTGCAAAGAAGTGCAGGGGAAGAGAATACAAATTGCCAGCGTATAGGAAGCTAAGTACATCAAGACTACAACTAAGTACCCCTAGTGGTATTTACAACTCATCATATGCAAAAGCAACCTTGTAAAACAAATCTTCAACTTCCCTTTCCCTAGTGTCACCAGGGAGATTGCCTACATAAATGGTCCTGCTTAATCGACCCATTTCCCCTGAAACCATTAGAAAACTGTCATCTGTGGGAAAAGGGCTTTATCATGATAAAATGTTTACATGATTACATACAGTTCCAGAAAAAACATGCACAGTATAACATAGCGAGTGACCTGAAAATGTTTATAGGGAAATTCTATTCACATAAAAAGAATCTACAAAAACTGAAAGAAGCAAAAAGGATCCCAAGAGAAGCAGTTTATAATTCTTTACCATCTGAAGCATGAAAAAATATGCAACAACAAAAAAAGTCCAACAAAAAACGTTGTCGAACAATAATTTGGTTATTTTGGTAATATCTAACCCGAGAAAATATGCAAAAATACGTTTTTTTATTTCAAAAAAAAAAAACGTTCTTATATTTGAACAAAAAGAAAATCCACATGCCCGGAGATAACTAAATACTGATATTCCTTTTATATAAAAAAATATCCATAATAGAGATTGAAATAAAGAAAAAACTGCGGGCAAAACCCTAAAGAGCTAGGGTTTTTTCATCTGCCTCCCTGTTTTAGTATAACCGTTCCGTTCAAGTAAAACTAACGATTAAAAAAACCAAATCCAGAAAGACAACAAGAAGCTGTTGATTAAGGAATGAATAATGGTCTTGCTTTACACAAAAGAAGTACTACCAGACACGAACTTTGAGTAACAGAGATGGGAAGTGTGAGATAAGGAAACGATCGCGGCATCCAAATTCAGAAAAATATACAGCAAAAAATAATGCCAATAGTGATACCTTCAATTCAAAATAGAGAAAGGAATGCCGAGTCTCAGAAGAACGGCTGGGAATGGAGAATTCAGTCGCAGGACTCACAAGTCACAATTAGTAGATCTCGGCAAAAAAAAATTCCCTTGACCTTTTTTTCCTCATAAAATTTGACCAGAAGATAGAGTGCTTAGATAACCTAATATAGCATGCTACATGTATGATATATCCCAAAAATTGAATTTATTTATACACCAAAAGTAACATTTTGATGGTTTACAATGACATAAAATGTTTATACGTTAAAAAAAATTTACACTGACACAAAGTGTTGGTACGTTAACAAAAATTAGCATTACACCAACACAAATTGGTGCTGCATCCCCGCAGTGTACAAAATGGAGTACAAATACGGAGTAGTTTTATCCTATAAAAATTGATCAAACTAGATCAAATTCAAATTCGACCTGGCTGACCTGCTAATGTAATACTTCCTTCGTTCTAAAATCATCTTCTCACTTCCTTTTTTTCTTCGTCCTAAAATCATCTTTCCACACACCTTAAATGCACATGCAATGACTATAATACCCCTAAAATATTTATTACTTTACCCACCTCATTTACGCAGGCCTTATCTTCACCGCCTACTCCTCATTCTCTCATTCTGACCTTATCGCTTCCTCTCCTCCATTCTTACATTTCTCCGCCTCCTCTAAAACTAGGATCTATCTCAGACTTCTCTTGCGTCTCTCATCCTTGCTATCTCTCCATGTATCTGTGAATTACACTTCTCCCTGCCTCATATGGATTCTGTGAGTTCAGGTATGGACCGCGCCAAGTGGGCTAACTGACGCATTTGCTAGCTTGGACATCTTCAAGTCAAATCATGAATGCATTTCTCAATAAAGTAAAAGTAGTGCCAAATCTATCTCATTGCTCAATGTGCTTTATGTCAAATCTATTGAATTTATACTTTTTTTATTTCCAAGCATTTAATGAATGGATTAATAACTTAATTTTTAAACTTTATGTCAAATCGAAATAAATAAAAGAGTAGTGTATTGATATGGAACCGCATGCATAGTTATGTTGGTGCGTGACTCGATGCAAACTTTATATCAAACAAAATAAATAAATAGGTAGTGTATTGATATAGAACCGCGTACATAGTAATGTTGGTGCGTGGCTTGATGCAAACTTTATGTCAAATCGAAATAAATAAATAGGTAGTGTATTGCTATGGAACCGCGTGCGTAGTAAAATTGGTGCGTGACTCGATGCAAACTTTATGTCAAATCAAACTAAATAAATGTTTTGCTTAAAAAAACTAAATAAATGTTTAATGTATTGATATGGAACCACGCGTGTAGTAATATTGGTGCGTGGCTCGATGCAGACTTTCTGTCAACTCAAAATAAATAAATGGGTATTGTATTACTATGGAACCGCGTGCGTAGTAAAATTGGTGCGTGACTCCATGCATACTTTATGTCAAATCATATTAAAGGTATAAATTCACTAAATCAAGATATTTAATGAGTAGATTGTTTGTCCAATTATATATACTACTTATACTCCAAATATTTCATACCTCTCACCCCAATTCGACCCACTTTCAAAATATGTCTCAAAACTTCAAAGAGTATGTAGAATGCGCTTGCTGAGATTGACAATTGTCAAACTACTTAAATGCTTATGCTACGAGATGTTCGTGTCTACTTTATTTTGGCTTGGGCAAGAGAAGGAGATTCAATGGAAATGATCTTTCATGATGAACATGTATAGTATTTATAATTTCTTTATTATTTGATTATATGTTATTATTATAATTTAATTTTATCATTTTCTTTCATCAATGTTTTCCCTAATTATGTAGCTTATAATTAGGTCGTGCAACACACGAGTGCGAGTCTAATAGGAAAAAAAAGAAAGATACGCAAAGGGGTTTCGTAGAAATTTAGATGGAAAGATGATGATTTCTAAAATAAAAAAAGGTACATTAGAAAATATAAGTGCAGAAGAAAACTTCTAATAATTACTACTCTTTATCCATATTACTCTATATTTCTTGAACAAGAGCAAAGAAATCACCTCAAATAAGAGTAAACCATAACTTTTATCCCAAAACAAGAGTTTAATATTTGATTAAATTGGATCTATTTGTAATTTGATTAAAATTGCCACACCATTCAAGTTATCAATAGGTGACAGATGATTTGCTAATATATTATCATGTAGACTCGTCACTTGTCGTAATCATATAAGTTAAACTCTCAAATTTAATACTCCGTATATATGAAGATATAAATGTTTACTACTATTGTAATGATTATTATTTTTACTACTTTCGTCCATGAACATATGTCTAATTTTACTTTTTTACCGTCAATCATTTTTCTCTTTTGATCTCAAATTAAGGGGGGGTTGCGAAAACAAAGTTTGAGGGGAAACACTCAATTGCGATGTTACGCAAACAAAGTTTGAGGCCACCACTCTTCAGCGTGTAGAAAGAAGCATTAGAAAAAAGAAACAAAAGAAGGAAAGGGCATTCTGCTTTGAGCTAGATGTTATGAATATATGTGTGATTTTGATTAAGATTACCATGATCAGGTTTAAGCCAAGGAGTGATGGTTTAACACTGGAACCACTCGTTGGATCTGTTCCAATTGAGTCATGCTCTTCGATTTTGAGGAGACATCGGGCGACAAAGTTTAGATGGATGGGTAATTCAGTCCAATTTGAGATTCAAGACGCAAGCAAAGAGAGTTCAAGATGACATTTAGCATCGATCTCACGCTAAAGAGAGTCTTTTATGTATCATACACAAGAACTTAGTGTCAATGTCGCTACTGAACAAACATGTTTTCTGCAAAGTATGAGGTCACGGTCATTAGCTTTATTCTATTGTCTCCATCCATCTGTTCACTTTTGACTTTTAGCAGCCAACATAAATCAACTTTTAACTTATAAATAAATAAAAATTACATGGTATATTAATTATATTAAACAGTATTTCGATAATATTTTATTAAATTTATTTTTATATTAATATTTAATATTAATGTTATTTAATCTATAGTTAAAATTTACTCCGTATTAATTTAAATCACAAAAAAATTAATAATGGACAAACATTCTAAATACTGGTAATAGTAAAAATGGCTTAGAAGTCACAATTACTTTAGAGGTGATTATGTTCATTCTGAAAAGATGCGCGCCCATCGTTTTCTTGAGGGAGGAACCAAAATCTGTTTTCGCTCGTCCTGGTTTTATATCATGGCTCAAACACAAGCCAGAGAAATATCATCGTCCCTTCGCCATCAACAAATATCTCTCCTTCTTCTTGCTCGAACATTCAACCCTAGAAGTTTCTAATTTTCGTCTCCAGCAATCAATACAAAAATGGCAGAATCCGAGCCTAAGCCCAAGTCCACCTTCGATTCCGTCAGAGAATGGGTCTCTGATCACAAGCTTCGCACCGTAGGTATGGATTCTTTGATTCTTCTGCAATTACGGAGTAAAGTCGTGATTTTATTGTTCATTTGCTTGTAACCTGGGATTGAAGGGTGTTTGTGGCTGAGCGGTATTGCCGGATCCATTGCGTACAATTGGTCAAAGCCCAACATGAAGACCAGTGTCAGAATCATTCATGCTAGGTACCGTTTGTTTTTTAGATTGTTCTTCTTCCTTTTTCATGTGATTTCGAATTCAATTAATGTAAATTTTAAAATTAATGTTTTTGAGGCTATTTGTTTAAAATTAAAAATCTCGATTTTGCAAATTTATGATTGAAGACTCTGTAGCTGAGAACCGTGAGATCATCACAATCTAAGGTTTTCAAAAAAAAAGTTGGCTGTTATGTTGGTCTTTGTTCGGCGGCTGACCATTCATAAACATTAGATTTTGAACTTTTTGTTGAGAATGAGATCTTATGAAGGATCCTTCATGGTGGGTTGAACCAGAAATGTTCATTTTCAGGACAGAAGTCAATGTTTCAAAACTCTTATGTGTGTTTGGGATTTACATACACATCTAAACAACTGTGTTTTGGAGCAAACATCATCAACACTTATACATCATCACCCATGAGGCACAACTATATTGTGGTTTGTTTTAATAAATTTATAGCTTCCATTAAGTTGTCTATATTTTTCTAAAAAATATACATTTGAGCAAGTCTTTTTACTCCAAAAGCCCTTCTTTTGGAAACCTTATAAAGAAGGAATAATGAGGTTTTGAAACCGTTGTCATTTTGAGTGTTTGGAAAATTTCGTTCTTGCAACCCGTGTTTACTCCAATATTTGACCCAGCACCTGAGTGGGATCAAAGACAAATTGGAGTAAGCATGTGTGTAATACTTGTATATATGTTTTCCACTTAGAAATAGCATGGGGCAAGGATATGTTGAGACATTTATTATAGTCGTTTCTCATTGTAAAATGGATATTGTTGTGTGGGTTTATAATTTTACATAATGTGCTCCAACACGTTTATGCTTAATGTAGAGATTTTAGATGTAGTTCTTAATTATCTGTTGCCAATATCAAGTGTATTTTTGAGAGGTCCATAGGGGTGAAATTCCCATTTGACTCATGACAAACTACCTTTCCACTAACAAATGGCTCTATGCATTAACTAGTATATTGAAGTTCTGTAAATGTTTCTGATCATATCTCATGGTATATGTGCCTGCAACTAACAACAAAAATGGCCAATGGACCTACATGACATTATGTTAGGATTTAAAATTGTAGATTTTTACTGTATGTAGTGTGTTGTTTGGTAATTAGTTTGGAAGGGGAGCCTTGGCGCACCAATTTATGTGTCCGAGGAGCAATGTCTTGTAAAAAATGCACTAATATAGTGTTGTTTGTCTACATCACGCCATAACACCACACCCTTATGGTGGGATCCTTCTCAGACCCTTTGCTCAACAGGGACACTCTTTGCATTGGGTTGCCCTTGTTTTGCATGAATATTGTACCATGGGTCATTATCCGTGACGGTCTGGTATTTTCATAGAACCCCTACCATACCGTTACTATTCAAACAATTTGGTACGGTTTGATTTCATGACAAAAATCATTCGGTACTATTTAAAAAACCCGTTTTTCTATTTGATTCCATTTTAGGCCGGCTTGAAATTCTGTCAGATCAATATTTTTGCCCGTTTCATACTAGCGCTTTTGCTTGTGTAATGTATTATTAAACTCTATTTCTCAGGTTGCACGCGCAGGCATTTACTCTCGCTGCATTAGCCGGAGCAGCTGTGGTGGAGTACTATGATCACAAAACGGAGAAAAGTGACCGCTATGCCAAATTTCTTCCACTGGATACCTACTCACAGAAGAAATGAACAATACTGTTTTTCTGATGTGTACCCATCCATCCCATCAATCTGATTCTTTTATGTCTGGGTGATTCATATGTTGTTACCCAAGTCCTTGTTTTCCTTTCATTTTGTAGTTTTTTTTTCTTTTTTAAATAAATGTTTGTAGTTTCCATCTATCTGTTAGAAGCTGCGCCTGCCTTTTTGGGTTTTAACAGCTTCCTCATGCTGGGAGATTGAGAGATGGAAATAATGTGTTTTCCTTATTTGGAAGAAGAAAAAATATTAGAACCATATACCTGCTACCTTAAAACAACATTTTAAGAAAATTTATTTTGGTTCAATAATTGCGCACATAATATCAGACATAGACTCGATTCCATTTTAGTTTTTCTTTCAACACTTGTTTCAAATTTTAGATTTTTGAAACTCATTTCAAAGGATAGTGGTTTGCTCAGCAAATAAGGTAAATAAGCCCTTTAGCATCTCACATCTTCATCAAAATTGAAATTATCAATTTTGCTAATGGAACACTATATTTGTTCTAATTGGGACGGGGTCCTCAAAGAGAGTGGCTATATAACCTGACCACAAAATAAAATGGGATTCGGTACATATTTTTGCTTGAGTCCTTTTGAATTTTTCTAATTTTGGACCAACCATATTACTCTACGACTAGGTTCTTTAATAGTTACTACCCCCTAAGCCCTAACAGTTCCGGTAAACCCTTCCCCCAGTCCAAACCTAACATATCCTCCCACTAACGTTAATTGTGGGGTGCAAGTTTAGTTGACTTTGAAGTAAACAAATTGACTTCAAAATCAACTAAACTTGCGAGATGTAATTGGCATGGGTGAGGGGATGGATTAAGGTTGGAACTAGGTGTGGGGTTTCTCGCGGTGTTAGCCGTTATAGGAGAGGGAGGCTGCGCCAAACGTATGACGCCGATGCAATCACGCCCCGGTGAAGCCCCAAGGGGGCGGTGTTTAAAGCCCCAGTGGTAATACATCTCACGCCCAACGGCGTTATGCCCCTTTTGACCCCAGGGGGCGTTAAACACCGCCCCCATGGGGTTTCACCCGGGCGTGATTGCATCGGCGTCTTACATTTGACGCAGCCTCCCTCTCCTATAACGGCTAAATTAACTGTTGGAAGCAAAAAAAATTAATTAATTTTTTATATAAATTAATTATAAATGAAATAATGGAGGATGAGATCGAAAATAATGGAAACCTACCTTTCTACGTTATCGGGTTTCAAACGTATGATCTACGAGAGAAGACAAAAAGAAATCAAAGCCAAATATAATTTACCTTAGTTTTTTTTATTAATGTATTTTTTAATTATTGTTGCTTTCTTTTTTTAATTTAATAAATGTAATTTTTTAAAATTATTGTCGCTTCAATTTCTTTTATTTTAATGAATGTAATTTTCTTTAGTTATTCTTGTTTCAATATAATTAAATGATAAAATAATTAAATTTTATTAATTTAGTTTTAGAAGATGTATATTTAAAAATGAAAAAATGAAGGTTTGAAGCCCCACTTTGAAGCCACGGGGCTTTAAACCATTTCCACTGAATCTGTAAGGTAAGTTAAAGGCTTAAAGCTGACGTGGTAGAAAGAAATTTTGAAGCCTCGGGCTTCATGAGTATTTCCAGTGCTCTTAAAGCACAATGTCCTATATGTTGTCTTAGTTCCACTCATCTTTTCTATTCTTAGCATGGTGGTTGAAGTGCCCGACGAACTTGTAGTCCTTTTTTGATGAAGACATGAAACTGTTTGTGGACGCGGCTCTAAAAAACATTACTTTTTAGAAAAAGACTAACGATAAAATATATGTTTAATCACTGTAAAAATAACGGCCATTGTTTTTTGTCCTTATAAATATTTTTTGTTTAAGTCACCCTTACAACGTTTTTTATTTTAAAAATAGTCCTTAAAGATAATTAATATTTCTAATTTACCGATATAACACATTTATTTTGTATTCAACATCTTAATCTTGTATTTTTAATTATCTTATACACAATTCTCATGCCTTAAATTGTGTTCTTCATCAAATTACAGGTCTAATTCTTAAACTTTATAAAATTATATTTATATAAATTTGATAATTGAAGGTGTTATGAATAAAGATACAATTTAAGGTTTGAAAATCGTGTCTATGACAATTAGAAATACAAAATTAGATTGTTGAGTATGAAATATCTCGTAAATTTGATATCTCGACTAATTAGAGCTGCTAATTATTTTTTTTGCAAATATATCTTAAACAAAATAAAAAATTATTATCACTAAAAACAAATTCACCTATTTTACTAGGATAAAAAACATATTTAAACCATGGGTCATGCTACACTTACACCACAAATTGTACCCCATTTGTACACCGCAGTTATACACAAACATTTTGATGATTTATACCGACACAAGTGTTGGTGCGTTAACAAAAATTTACACGGACACAAAGTGTTGGTGCATTAACAAAAATTAGATTTACACCAACATAAAGTATTGGTGCAAATCTACGGGGTACAAAGTAGGGTACAAAAGTTGGACGTATGGCATGGCCATATTACTTTATCCTTAAACCATAAATCAGTATGGACGTATGGCATGGCCATATTACTGTTGGGCTACACCAAAGCATAGGCCCAAATACCGATTGCATTAAACCCTAGAGGAAGACCCTTTTCTACATTTCCTTGCGGCAGCTCCTCAATCCTCCTCATTCATCACAGCCGTCTTCTTCGTTCAGGTTCCATCTCCGTCGATCTCCCCATCTTCAGTTTCATGATAATCTCTCTGTGAATATATGTATGAAATGATCGGTTAACGTGTTTGCAGGTGAGAACGGTCAAGATGAGCAAGGGGAGCGCCGGCGCCGTCAAGGGAGGGAAGAAGAAGGGAGCGACGTTCGTTATCGACTGCTCCAAGCCAGTGGAAGACAAAATCATGGACATCGCCTCGCTGGAGAAGTTCCTCCAGGAGCGCATCAAGGTCGGCGGCAAGGCCGGAGCTCTCGGCGACTCCGTCACCGTCGTCCGCGAGAAGACGAAGATCACCGTCACTTCCGATTCCAACTTTTCCAAGAGGTAGTTTCCATTCTTTCTCCGTAATTAGGTTTTTCTAGGGTTAAGAAGTGTGTTCGTACACCTGTGATCTCTAGTTAGTGCATTTCTTCCATGGTTTTGGATAATTTACTTTCTCATACTCGATTAGTCTTCTTTGTGTAGGTCAAACAGATTGGCCATTTACTAATTTCATATTCAAAGTAATATGTGCGCAGTAACTCTTAGAAACTCTTTTTTAAATAAATAATTTCTCATTATAAAAGGATATACCAATTTTTTTTTGTTTTTTGGAGTTTCTATGATGGTATATTGTTCTGAAAAGTGGGTTAGATGGGTTAGTCTGGCTTACATGATGGGCTTAGCCGCTTAGGCATTGTCTGAAACTTTGCCCCAATTGAAAAATAGGGTACCCTTCTGGTTTGAACAAACCACCAACTACATTTTGTGTGCACTAAAGTTTGGAGCTAATCATATGTGTTGAGATATAAAGAAAACTACATCTGTTTATCATATGCATTATACATATATCAATTATCTATCACACAATTAGGATTTGTATTGTTTTCATTTTTGTTGTTAATATATATTATTACACACACCAATCCTATATATGAAAGAATTATGAAGTTATGTATTTTCTAGTCTCTGTCTTGTCCCTGAAAGAAAGGCACTGGGTGATGGGGTTGGAATCAGCTGACACTTCATCTAATTTTAGAACACTGATAGAGTTTAATATCACATGTTGAGTTATTTTTTGTGATTTTTTGCCCTGTTCCTTAATATCTAAGTATCTCTGGTACCATAGTGTTGAAATAAGAGAGTTTAATACCATAACTCCACTGATTTATAGGGGTTTTTGCCCCGTTCCTTAATATCTAACTCTCTTTGGTTACTACATTGTTGAAATCCTCTGTAAGCAATAGAGTTCAATGCACTGTACCCCAATTCCACTTCATTTCTTAAAAGGGTTTTTGCATTCTTTCTTAATATCTAAGTATCTTTGGTACCACAGTGCTGAAATCAAATAACAACTGCAATTTATGTCTCAGCTCGAGTCTTGAAGGATTTTTGCAGTGTCATTACTGGATTTACTCCCTATGAGCACATTTGATCCAATTGTGCTTGTTCACTTGTTATATTTCTCTCATCATTATTGGAAAAACATCCAGCACCACAAAATTTCCATTAGATGCTGTCTGACATGGCTGTAATATGATTGTTATACTTGCTGAGTCTTCAAAAATCTTGGTGTTCACCTGTTTTCCAAAATCTATGCCCCTCCCTTTTCATGTCTCTTCAATCTCTGATGGTTCATTGGCTCTGCTGCATGTCAACAGGTATTTGAAGTACTTGACAAAGAAATACTTGAAGAAGAACAGCGTGCGCGACTGGCTCCGTGTTATTTCTTCAAACAAGGATAAAAACGTCTACGAGTTGAGATATTTCAACATTGCTGAGAATGAAGAGGAGGATGAAGATTAAGTGCCATTATCAATCCTTTTTTCCCCAGATGGTTTCGCAACCCATTTTGATTTCTTGATATGATAATTATTGTATCAATACTCTCGTTTTAACATTAGTTATCCTATGGAACAAGATATTTCACCTTTCCATGTTTTCAGTTGAGCAATTTCCTTTCCCTTAAATGATTGTGTACTGGCTCCTCTCCTTTTTGAACTTATAATCTTGTAGCCATGTTTTTCCTTTTGATTCTCATTCATGCTCTCCCATTTTACATGTTTATTATTACTATTTACATGATTAAATCATTTCTTTTTTAGTACGGAGTACTTATTTTCATCAGTAATTTTGATTTTTTAGTTTAAAGGATAATTTGATGTACTATTTTTTAAATATTTGTTTTGTTTCAAATTAAGTTGCATGTTTTCTATTCATTTGGTCAATTTTTATTTACTTTCCTTTCTAATCTTTGTTATGGAGTATTTATTTGATACAATAATTGTTGTCATCTCTTATTTGACACTCTCTCCGTCCCAATTTAAATCGCCTGTTTTGACTTTTGGGCATATTTAAGAAAAATAAAAAATAGAGTTGATTTTTCAAAATTGACATTAGTTTTTAGGAGGGGTGATGATGAATGAGAAGATAAGGTGAAGAAGTGTGACTTATTTTATGGGTAGTTTAGATATTTTATTTTTAAAAGTTTACGAAAACAACTAACAGGCAACTTATTTTGGGACGGAGAAAAAGGCAAACAGGCAATTTAAAATGGGACGGAGGGAGTAAATTTTTTGATTAATTTTTTTAAATATATATAAAATATATTTTATTTCCACTTCAATTTTCAAATTCATTGTATTGAAAATAACTTTAGTAACATTGTTATTTGAAACAAACAATTTAAATTGGACAAAGATAGTATAAAAATTTTATTTTTAAATTATAAAGTTAAATTTTATTATAAATTGCATTAAAATTAATTAGCCAAACATCATGAATTATATTTTACGGAGTAGCTTTAAAAAGGAGGTAGGGCCGTAGGGGTATATTTTACGAGTACATTTTTTTTAAAAGGATGAGCCCCGAGGGTCTATTTAAACTCAGCAAGACAATCACTATTACAAGTACTTTTTAAGCTCGAGTATTGATGGTTCAATTGACCATTTTGGATTCTTTGTTTCCAGGGTCGTATGTGTTTAATTAGATCTGTGCAAACAATGGACTGTCTCTCCGACCCGCCCTTTAAAAATGATATAAATGGACAATCTTTAATACCCACATTGTTGGCCTGTGCCTGCGCCTGAATTGTATATGGGAGGATATGGAAGTAACAAGTCGTCCGATTGGGTCAGCATGCTCCCCCCATGTTCATCAAGTACATTTAGTCTATTAAATACCAATCATGCAAATTTTGATATTTTCCATAGTTCGTGTATAATGGCCTAATTCACGCACGTTTCTGAAAGAAAAACCCTAGCTTTTTAACTAGAAAGTTTTGTTAAAAATTGTCACTAATCTGTATTGTGTGTTCATTAATTGTGCAACACTACCTCTATTATGCTTTTTATGTAAGTATTATGGTTTCATCTTAAGTATCGAACTCTTTTCTCAATGTTTTTTCTTGATGTTGTTTTCATGCCAGGCGGCTTGGTGGACCCTTCAACCCGCTAAGTTGGGCGGGTAAAAGTAAAGAAAATAGTCTATTAGATCCGTGCCGGGCCAAGGCCGACCATATAAATCGGTTAATATTTTGCATTAAGCCTGGCCCCCATTGGACTTGGATCCATGTTTGCACAGGTCTACGTCTCATGCGACATGACCATTCAACTTGAAAATACACAGTATAATAAAGATAAAATATACTCAGTATGCTATATACATATTTTATGGACCGAATTTCTAAATTGATCTTTTGTAATAAGTCATTTTCTCATTCGAATTCTCAACTAACAATAATAAATTAATTATTTATATGATACAAAGTACTTCATAATTGAGATGTTTTTTTCTTTATGGTCTTTATTAAACAAGGGGAAGGTTCCCATGACATTGGGAACCAATGTCATGGGATGACCCGGGGACGCTCTGATGTCCCGTTCGTAAAATTGACGGTTCCTACATCCCCTAACCCCCCGGTAAACCCCCCACCCCGTCCCGACCCAAACACCCCCCCACCCCCTTCATGCTACTAGAGGGTAGCATGACAGTAGAAATGTACGGATGCAAAGATTTAAGGTTGACTTATGTTTAAATTATAGCTTCCGCACTATTTGTACAAACTTCGATAAGTATTTAAATTGTTTAAAATGGTTTGGGTTTTGAATTAAATGTTTTTAATCTCTTAGAAAATATTGTATGTAGATACTAATTTAGAAACAACCTGGTTCGCAACCTACTTAATCGGGTTACGTGGGTTGGGTGTTACATTTTGGTATCAGAGCATATGATTTTAAAATCGATCCTCAGACCATTGCAAAATACTATTTTAAAAATGAATAATCTAAAAGCATACTACCGTTTTAACAATAACGAAGATTGAAAAAGGTAAGTCTCAAGTACTGCATCCACACCCGTCACGTCGTCTGCTTCCCGGGAGGTAACAAGTTAATATCATGTGAAAATATTTCTTATACATTGAAATGTGGCATTGTCCATTCCTCTCAGACGCACTCTCAGTTTTTCCACAATACCATTTCTAGATCTCGTACTCGTGCGTTGCATGGAAAGAAAATTTAAATTGAATTAATATATTAAGAATTAAAGAGTTTTTAAAGTAACATGACTAATTCAAATTATTACAAATAACTATAAAATACAAATGTATTATGAATTATGTTTTAATTCATGAAGCACGGAGTGCATTACAAAAAATTACTCGGTAATAAAGTATCCATTTTAAATTTCAAAAAATTTCTTTATAAATAACATTAAAGCATCTTTAATCGAAAGTTCTTAATAAGTTAATTCACCTAGAAAAGATGTTTTGAAGTTTATGTGGAACATATGTGGAACACCACCATTTACTCTATTTTCAAAGAAGTTGTTTAATGAAGCAACCTCCACCAAAGACATTCTTAGCAGTGTGTGGTTCGATGATGTGTTTTCTTCATCACAAATCAAATTTTTTAATCGATATTGATTTGTCCCGTGTAAAACAGTGTAGTTGATAATGACAAAAAATAGATTTCTTGAGTTGTAGGCGTATGTGCACGGTTGACAATTGTCCATAACTTTCAGGCCAAATATTTTAAGTGTCCCTTGTAGTTTGAAAAATGCACACACTAATACTCCTCTCATTTCAAAAGATATTTCTAAAATCTTTATGGTTTCAAAACGTTTAACATGCAACACTTTGATTATTTTTCGAGCTCATCTTAACAATATTAATTCAAACCTTTTCACTTCAGCATTTTTAAGTTTCGTAAAAGTGAAACTAAGAAGAATTTAAAGTTAAATTCCAATCAACTGACCATATCCGTAAAAATTGTTGAAAGGTTTAACAACTAAATTAAACTATATTTATTTTTAATTTTTTCCTGAAATTAAAAAAGTAAATGAGGGAGTCTTAAAGTTAAGAATCAATATTATCAAATGGTTAGTGTATATTATTTGTACACACATTTTAGATCTGATAATTTTTTGAAAATTACATACTATCAATTCATGATGATTTTTATGGTTATCTCTGTTATTTTTTAAATCAGATCTAATCACAGTAACTAAACATCTGATTCGAATAATTTATTTGCAAATAAAACAATTTGGCAAGGGATGATTAATGTCACTTGATTATGTGAACTGAATCGTTATTCTGTTCAAGATGAGCAGTGATGAAAAAATTTATGGCGATTTTTTGGGATATCAATGTTTTGAATTGGGTTACTATTTTAATGTCTCTCTATGAATACTTTGTCTACATTTTACATTTAATTCTTTTTACCATTTAAACATTTCTTTATGCAATGACCATCATGGAAAGAATTAGTAATCTTGGCACACCTCATGACTCTCTAATTAATAGATGTGCATGTTGTAAAACACATTTCTCAATAAAAATGAATATTTATAATTAATACACCTATAAAAAAACACAACTTATTAAAGAAAGAAATGATGTCTTCACAAACATCGAATCCCATAAAATGAGCCGCCCATTTAACACATTCTTCATGAAAAGGTCATCATGCAAAGATTTAGAAATCTTGACATACTTCTCAATGACTCTCTAATCAATAAATATGCAAGTTGTAAAGCACATTTCTCAAAAAATCAAATCTTTGTAATTAATACATCTATAAAAACACAACCTATTAAAGTAATTAATGATGCCTTCAAAGTATACAATAAAATTGACTGCCCACCCATTTAACACATTCCCCCATGCAAAGGCCATCATGCTCTCACACGGTGCCCCATAATTTGAAATATAAATCTTTTTGTAATGTCTTTTTTATTTAAAATATATTTGATTTGTAGTCAAATTGTCACATTTAAAAAACTAAAAAAGGAAATGTTTTTTTTTTGAAATTTTTTTAACAATTTCTTTATTAAAAATTTTATGATTATATAATACCTCTTTTTTATTTACATAAAAAAAGAAAACTATCATCTTTAATTACTCCCCAATATTACCCAAACTCGGAATCCAAGTTGAGTTTATCTTCCCCAATCATAAAGCACCATGACTTTAATCAAAGCACCATATCTTTTTTAGTAAATGTTCTTTTTGATTTGTTTGATAATCACATTGGTTTGATTTTTTTACCAAAGATGTACTCTCAAATGCATAAATTTACTTTCTTTCTAACTCAACTCTTAAAAAATCATGTTACAGATGTCGAGTCTTTAGAGTTTAAACTATGTGTTTATTGCATCATTGTAAATGAAATTACATAAAAAGGAATGAAGAATTTTTTCGCAAAGAGGAAGTACACTATAGAATGCACAAAGAGAGATTCCACCATAACTCACATTTTTTTGTATATGAATTGTAGGTTACCCATTAATATTGGTGGATCAGTAGTGCAATATCTGTAGTGTGTACTTGACACACATCCAATTTTCGATTCGGTGAAAGAGAAGTTTTGGAGGGGATAAATTATTTAGCGTATGATTCTAAAGATTTGGAAATCTCTATAAATACAATACCCAATGAGCATGTGGAAATGTGTCAGGTTTGAAAAGGCACATTTATAATCTTAAATTAATTATGTTAGTTATATTACTATAAATAAATGTGCTATCTACTTTTTTTACAAAGTAAGGAGACTCTACACACCCCAATGCAAAGGACATCAATCCCCATCATGACATCACGAT